TTTTATATGTGGCACAGAACAAAAAAAATGTGAGCTCCGAACACTGTAGATTTGCATATGGTGACTATCGCGCTTAATTTGCATATGGTGACTATCGCGCTTAATGTTAGTCTGCCGGGAGTTCTTGACATTTCATATTGATCGATTTAACCTGTCATACGATGCATGCGTCGTGTAGCGATATACAGCGCGACAATTGACATCGACGTTGCGTTAATTTTTATACCGACATCTTTAGTAATTTATGAATCTATCTCTTCTTTCCCGCAAGCTATGTATTAAATAGCAGATCGGGACCTATAAACTCTTTCAATAATCGCCCTTGAAGAAAAAAAACAACTTATACCTAAAGTTGCTAGGAAAATCGTTGGACTTTTGTATCACTTCAGAATATATCCGACTCCTGTTGTACTCTTTATAAGAACCAGATCAGACTTAAAATACCGTACTACTGTCATATCTGTGCTAGAGTTAACCAATCCTTACTTCCCAGTTGAGTGGAATTTCCTCTCTATTAATGGAATAATACTTAGGAATGAGGATGCGTCGAGTCTGTATACCTGGCATAGGTAGGTCCTAGTTGTAATGGTCTGACTTGGTGGAACTAAGGAATTAATTCATCATAACATTTGCCATGAAAAAAAAAGAAAAGCAAAATAGTACTGATAGACATGTGACGCTTGTGGGAAATAAGCTGTAAGGTTGAAAATAATTCCTCACCCTCAGGGCCGCGTAAATATATTTAAACTCTGTCAAGGCGAGAAAGTAAGGATCGGGTTTCTCTAGCTCAGGAATGTCAGCAATATTCTAATTAGGTCTGATCTGACTCTTGTAAGGAAAGGGAATGACAGAAGAAGTCAGATACTTTCTGGATTGATACGAAGACGCGACTATTTTCCCAGTATTTTTATGCTTGATTATTGAGTTGTTTTTCTTCCGGAGTGATTGCCAAAAAAAAAAAAAAAACATCCTTAAAGACTCCTATTTGCTATTTAATACATATTATTTGTTTTTATTAAGTATTTTAATAAATCCATTTTTTTCCAACAATTTATAGAACCGGCAGATAATTTTCGAATAATTTTCAAAATGTAACCTTCATTTTTGGGGAAAACTTATGAAATATTTTAAAAAGTTCCTAAATTAGGGGGATATTTCAGATTAAATTTTATGTTATGTTTCTTAGTAAGTATGCATAAATATAAAAGAACGAGCAATCTTTGTGGATGTGTGTTGAAAGCAAGGTCAATAAATGTTGGATTTCTAAATAGGTAGTAACAATACAAGCAGTACATCCTTTCTGCACTCATTTAGCCTCGTATCGTCCTAAATTAAACTGAGAAGAGGAAGGATAATGAAAAGACAGTAAGGAAAGAAAATGTAAAAAGAAAATTAAAAAAAAAATGGGGCGTGGTTAGTATTCAGAACGTTGTTTCTGATTGGCTATTTCGATGAATTTTTTTTTTTTTTTTTTTTGACTTGTGAATTCTCATCAGAATCAATTTCCACCTTCTTTTCATCTTGGCTTTTCTTCGATTCTTCGCCTTATTTTCTTCTTTTTATGGCAGGTGGGGTGGATGTGAACAATTTTACGCTTTTTAACTCGTCTTCTGAAATAGCTACCCTGTTTAGTGATAGGGGTGACCGTTTACAACAAGATTAAGATTAGTGTGATTTACTGGAAAACAACCGGAGAAGGTCGCACACATACTTGCTACTATGTTGTGCATGTGTGTAAGTCTATGTGTAGATGAGAGAAGGAAAATGTATGTTTTGTGTACTGTGAGCGTGTGTACTTAATTGCAATATATTATTCATATAGATTTTTGTTTTATTTTATGTCAAAATTACCAATTTTCATTTTTCCAGTAATCACTCAACGCCATTTGCTGTCACCCATCGTCAAGCGATAAGAAACTTATTTAAACATTTTGGAAAACTTAAAATAAAAATATTAAAACAGAAACAGTTAATTTGATGAATTGTGAGCTAGATGAAACCAAAATAACTTATCTTTTTTTTCTTAAAAATCGGTGAAAAACGATTTTTTTGCGAGGGGTTCTCATTTTCCTGAGGCAGCCGTTGAAGTAGCAAATAGCTCATGAAGTTGTTGACAGAAAAGAGTAAGTAAAAAAATATTACCCTAAGCCGTATATGACAAAATATTAGTGACTGCATGACCTGGATCTAAGTCACCTTTCGCCACTGGTGTACATGGGTTCTCATATATATATATATATATATATATATATATATATATATATATATATATATATATATATTATATTTCACTGCTACCAGCAATATTTCTTCTCCTGATGATGGTCATGTTATTTGAAACTAATCGAGGAATCTAAATGAAATAATAATAATAAAACGAAAAAAATATTAATCTACAACCCAGTGTGTCTGAAGATTTTAATTTTCATATTTTTAATTGTTTCATATTTTTATTATTTATATATATATATATATATATATATATATATATATATATATATATATTTTTGTGTGTGTGTCTGTGTGTGTGTGTGTGTGTATATGTGTTTGTGTGTGTATGTATGCATGTGTATTTTATCAAATATATATATATATATATATCCAGCCGGTAATACCTTTGTGTCCGTGTAATATTGTGTCTGACCGTGTGCATAATTCCATGATATTATCAACAGCCTAGTATTATTTGATATCGTATAGCCTGATGTATGTATGTGTCCAAGAAATGTTTTGCGTCTGTGCATGTGATAAGGAGATTGTGTTCTTGTGATTTTGTATGTATGTGCGCTATTATAATGTTATGCTATTACTTGTGGCCATTTCCCCCCAAAATGTTTTAGAATTGAAATGATTTTATTATGATTGACTTACTGCAGCCTCTTTCACACATGATTGGTGATAATTTTATTCCTTGCAAAATGGCCTCTTTTAAAACTATTACTGGGGCATTTTTATTTAACGCAAAACGGACCCTCATTGAATTATTACTGGAACCATTTTGATTGAATTACTGCAAAACAGTGTCTTTTTATAAATATGAGTGCAGCCATTTTGATTTGCTGAAAAACAGGATTTTCAAACTATTACTGAAGGTGTTTTGCATTATTGTAAATCGGCCTTCCTTAAAAACATTAATGCAGCCATTTTTATTTATTGAACATAGGCCACTTTTAAAACTATTACTGGAGCAATTTTGATCAATTCAAAATCGGACACTTAAAACTATTAATGAAACCATTTTGATTTATTCAAAATCTACCTCCATTAAAACTAATACTGGAACCATTTTAATCTGTTCAAAATTGGCTCCTTTTAAAACAATTGCTGGATTTGACTCCAGCAATTGATTTATTCAAAGTCGACTTCTTTCAAAACTATTATTGAATTATTTTGATTTATTCAAAATCAGCCTCTCTTATAACTTACTGGAGCCATTTGATTTATTCAAAATCGACCTCTTTATGACTATTAAAGGAGACATTTTGATTTATTCAAAATCGATACCTTTAAAACTATTACTGAAACCATTTTGATCTATTCAAAATCCGTCTCCATTAAAACTATTGCTGGAGCCATTTTGATTAATTAAAATAGTCCTCTTTTAAATCTACTATTGGAGAATTTTGATCTATTCGAAATCCGTCTCTCTTTTTAAAACTATAGCTGAAGTTATTTTGATCTATTCAAAATCGATCCCTTTTAAAACAATTACTGGAGTAACAACATCCATTTCTGCAGATGTATTCAAAATCTGAATCCATGTAAATAGCATCTTCAAATACAAATATATTCCAAAATATATTTTAAATAATTATTTCTTATTCGAAGTTGGATTGTTAAAGGAAAACCAACGTTATTTCAGAAGTTATGAGAAAGCAATTTTAACGTATGTAATTTAAATATGACTATGTGTTTATTCATTTCGAACCTGGACAATAAAGAAAATGAATGCCATCTCTCTCAATAAGAGAAGACTACGCTAAAAATACTTACAGTTTGGCTTTTTTTCGTCTCGGTTAGCTGAACTACTAAGGAAAAGCACCAAACCGAAAGGGTGAACTCGCTGTGTACGAATGTATCTTCATTTTAAACAGTCAGCCTTAAGGGAAAACAAGTCTACAGCAAATGGAGAAACCATAAAAACTATCATCTCGAATTGGGATGAAAGAAATGATGACACCTTCTCTAAATCCATCATAAAAATTCACGGTGTGAAATTAGTAAATACTAAACACTTCAAATGCCTAGGGGTAGGAATCAGTTATAGAAAATTAAGTATAAGAGAATAGAAAAAATGCATATAGAATGCGCTGAGCCGGAAGTAACTTCGTCCAAAATCCTATATTACCCCAAGGCCAAAACATTAAAACTTCAGTCATGTTTTTAAATAGCCTAGTCAAATCGAGGCTTTCGTATGGATGCCATACATGCATATGAATGCCATGTCATTTAGCAAGTGAAAATCTTGGTCTTGGTGAATTCCAATGTTTATTCGAACTCTTTGGAGTGGCGCTACATAATCAAATAATTCTACCAAATAATAGAAACGACATCATTTGTGGCAGCAGCAAAAACTAAAATGGATAACACATGTTACTTGAAGAGAATATAATGACATAATCAAGATATTGATATTCAATATTGTTTCAAACAAAAGGTTAAAAAGAAAACCTCCCTCAATACTTGAAAGACCTATTACAACTACTGGACATGTGAATTATTTAAGAGAAAGGTTCTATATATTGCAACCAACAGAAGCACTGGCTGCTCGGTCAATAAATACCGAATGTTTCCTTATAAGGAAACAGTTAATATTACCATTACCATTCTCTCTCGATACTCGAAAGCAAAGATCAAACCAAAATGCAGTAACAACAAGAGATATCTTGTTCTGATAGAATCAGTTTGTTAAACGATGGACGATGAAATGTTCGGCTCCCTGTACAGATCCATGAATTAGCTGACACCATATGCTATCCACAACTTTTATAAGAGCCAGATCAGGCCGAGAATGGAGTGCTGTTGTCATATTTGGGCGGGAAATGGAAGAAGGATAAAACGGAAGACGGACCAAACAAAAGACGGGCAAAATCGAAGGAAGACAAAATGGAAGACGGAAAAACGGAAGAAGGACAAAATGGAAGACGAAAAAACGGAAGAAGGACAAAACTGATGACAGACAAAACGGAAGAAGGACAAAATGGAAGGACAAAACTGATGACGGACAAAACGGAAGACGGACAAAACGGAAGAAGGATAAAACGGAAGAAGGACAAAAAGGAAGAGGGATAAAACGGAAGAAGGACAAAAAAGGAAGAGGGATAAAACGGAAGAAGGACAAAACGGAAGAAGGACAAAATGGAAGACGAAAAAAACGGAAGAAGGACAAAACTGATGACAGACAAAACGGAAGAAGGACAAAATGGAAGAAGGACAAAACTGATGACGGACAAAACGGAAGAAGGACAAAACGGAAGAAGGATAAAACGGAAGAAGGACAAAAAGGAAGAGGGATAAAACGGAAGAAGGACAAAAAGGAAGAGGGATAAAACGGAAGAAAGATAAAACGGAAGAAGCATAAACTGGAAAAAATGAGTTAAAGGAAAGGAAACTGAGAAAAACACTTATAAAATTGTTTAGAAAAAGAGTCAGTCTGATAAAAAAAAAACTGCAAAAAAGGCTTAGGCGTTTAAAAGTGAATAAAAAAAAAAAGATAAAGTAATGATGACAAAAATTTTGAAAGATAACGAGAAGAACAAATCCTGTTATGAAAAACAAATCGCAAGAACAGTGCGAAAAGAAGAAAATCTCTAATCTAAAGATTAAAAAAGACACCTTGTAAATTCTGAGCAAAAAATATCAAAAAGAGAAAAGGAATTCCAAATGACATCGAATCAACCAAGGTCCAGAAAAATTGGGAATTGAGAGAGATAGATAGATAGATAGATAGAGAGAGAGAGAGAGAGAGGAGATATAGGGAGGGGAGGGTGAGAAGGCGAAAGGGAAAGAGAGAGTTCATCGTTGAGATTGCACACTTCGTCTGAGTAGACATCTTCTAAATATTCTTCTTTTAATATTATTATCTGTAAAGCTTCCGTACAAGTGTACAGTATAAGTGTGGCATCGAAGTGAACGTCTGAAAAATTTACATCAGCGAACCAGGTTCAAATTCACGCTGAGGCAGTTTTTGTATTCACATTAACTATTGGGAAGGGCATGAAATTATCCTATTTTTTTTTTTTTCATTTCTCAGCTTTGGATTAAATAGCAGGGTAGACTGGATTGGCAACCAATATAAATAAGGACAACTCTGAATTTAAAACTGTGGAAAAGATGATGATAAATTACTCCAATATCATTTCCAAGAACGATGCAGTTTTTAGATATTTTAAAGAAAAAGACATTGCGAAGAGCCATGATCTTCTATGTAATAGAATACATGACACTTAATGAAGCGGATCTATGTGTAAAGTTCTCATCTTGAGGCAATGGTTAGCAAAGATGATATTACTATAGTAGTGAGGTCGACTCTCATTAGGGGATAAATATATAGTTTTGTCGTATATTAAGTTATGGACCTTTGTAAAGAAGACCTCATATCGATGAGTATTAATCCTGTCACCTGGCAAACCAGTGTACAACATCGCTTTCAATGGCGACAATCAATATGCTTGTAATTTCTCCTTGTTAACTTAGCCTCTCTGTGATGAGCCAAGCTGGTGTCATATGTCAACTGTCCACTCCTAGGAGTGCGCCATCAGCTTTGGGATAGGCCGTGTCTGCATGAGACACTGAGTGAGACGCAATAGACTTGTACCCTTGCTCAAGGCTAACTTTGTTACTTTATGTTGCATGTCATTTCATTGTTGGAAGCGTTTATACGAGGTATGATAAAAAAAACCCTATCGGGACAGGTTCTACAAAAAGAAAACTACAACAGATATCAATTCGGCATTTAATCTCCTTCGCAGTAGTCCACTTCTGAAGCCACATACTTTATCCAACGTCGTTTCCATTGATGGGAACATTGCTGAAGCTCCATTTTTAGGATAGCGATAGCGGGGAATATACTGGGTTTCGGACATGGGGAATGCTGTCTTGGCCAAAACTGCTGCACAAGCCATGGTCACTGATGGGAACTCTGTGATGTAGTAAGACGAACACACTCTACACACTTTCCTTCCAAGAATTGCTATAAACAACAGAAGTGAGCGAGAAAGTTGTAACTTTGTGTATTTGCGCGACAGAGTTCAAAATCAATCCGTACCAAGCGGTTTCACTCTGTGAACTTTATCTTCGTTACTGATCATACCTCCTGTATGCATAACATGAAATAACTTAACGGCGTGTGTGATAAGCCAGAAAACCTGCAGAAGCCGCCCCGGTCGCAGCTGTCACATGAAAATTAACGAGCAACTGAATTTACAAAACAGGCTAGACCCGATACAAAACAACTTGGTGCGTTTGATAAAGTGAGTCCATGTTTATACTTCGTGGCTCAGGGGATTGAACTTAAAATTAATGAATGACCAAATTCACGAACCATCCTTATTGTTAGCGAAATTAAAGTCCAGATATACTGATCAGAGACCACAATAACAGAATGTGCTTTCTTAATGACATGGAAATTCCTGCTAGACTAATGGAAAATCTTCACAAAACCATCAAAATACAAAAAGGATCCTGAAGTGGAAATCACAAATGTAGCACATGAATTAATCAATAATTCCAGGTTTAGTTGGAGCCCTCGGTTTGATTGGAATAGATCCCAGGTAGCCCATGCCTTAAAGAAATACAAAAATTGGACTCTAGCACAGCTCACACCTTACGAAGGTGTGAGCTGTAATTATGTAAGATGTGCGTGATCACAAGTTGCTTTTTTATTACAAAAAATGTTCAGTAGCAAATGTAATGAAGCCATTTCTGACCTTAGGTCTCTGGCTGGGACTCGAAAGGAAATTAGTAATCAACACAAATTCACGGAAATAATAATAATAATAATAATAATAATAATAATAATAATAATAATAATAATTGAAGCTCATGTGCTCATGTGTTTAGGAAAATTCTGTGTTACTAAGCTGCCGGGTATGTTGATTATCGCCCGGCCAAAACATTTTCGGAGAGGATATCAAATATAATAATAATAATAATAATAATAATAATAATAATAATAATGAAGAACATAATGATTGACGTTACTTTTTCAATATTTTTCAACACTCAGAGAACAGAGTCATTTAAGAAAAGAAAAAAAACACAGTGTTTGACAATGTTTCGCAATATTTCCACACTATGCCTGTCTTCTTGAAGTTATATTTAAAAAATTTTATACAAGTAAAAAGATATTAAAAATAGTCTACAAATAATTATACGTCTTTGTACAAAGATGGCCTGTCTTGAGAAAACGGCTATACTGGTAATCACCGTGTCAAAATGGATGAAACGCAACCATCGTGAATGGCATGCGACAGAAATGTACGTAATATGATGGTGATCTTGCTTATCTTAGAATTTTCCGTTGATTAGTTACTAAGAGGAATGAATTAAACAGCTTAGTATAAATCTTATGGAACTCTTCAGGCATTGTGCTGATTCCCTCAGGACAGGAAGTTAGTAGTTTCCATGCATAATGCTTATGTATGCAAACTTAATTTGTTATCAATAATAATAATAATAATAATAATAATAATAATAATAATTCTATCCATTATCCGTTGTTATTTTCTTGAATAAAGAACCTGTGAACAAATCATTTATTGAATTAATAAACAAAGAAACACAAGGTGATCCGCCTGTTCTCTCCTCCAGATCTCTCTCTATTTCATTAAGCGAAACGTCAAAGAACTTAAGAGAGAGAGAGAGAGAGAGAGAGAGAGAGAGAGAGAGAGAGAGAGAGAGAGAAAGAGAAAAGGAGAAATCGTAAAGGAGAAACAGGCATTGATGCAGAGAGAGAGACAGTGAGAGAGAAAATAATGTTTAAACAAAAAAATTAAATGACGTAGAGAGAGAGAGAGAGAGAGAGAGAGAGAGAGAGAAGAGAGAGAAATATAAAACGAGGAGAAGGAAGAGAAGGTATGAAGAGAATGAAAGAAATAAATAAATAAAGAAAAAAGACAAAATAAAAAAAAGAAAAAAGAAAAGAGGATGGGTGAAAGAAAGAAAGAATTTCTTTCTAATGAAAGAAAAATGACCTAACAAAATGACAGAGAGATAGTGAGAGAGAAAATAATGTTTAAACAAAAAACGTAAATGACGTAGAGAGTGAGAGAGGGAGAGAGAGAGAGAGAGAGAGAGAGAAATATGAAACCAGGAGAAGCAAGAGAAGTTATCAAGAGAAAGAAAGAAAGAAGACACAACATAAAAGAAAAAAAGAAAGGAGAATGCGTGAAAGAAAGAATTTCTTTCTAATGAAAAAAAAAGAAAGGAGGATGGGTGAAAGAAAAGAAAGAATTTTTTCTAATGAAAAGAAAAGAAAGATCTAATAAAATGGCAGCTAGTTGGGAAGAAGGAAGAACGAACGAAAATAAAAAAAGGTAAGCCCGAACAAAGAAATATTAAATGAAAGAATAAAGTTAAAAAAAGAAGTGAAAAAAAAGAAAAAAGAAGTAAATTTCGAGCTTAAAGGGAAAATGCATAATTAAAGGGAGAAATTAAGAAAAGTAAAGAAATTGTAGAAAACATACATAAAAGAAAGAGCAGACGAATGAAGGAAAGGAAAGGAAGTAAATCTTTTACAATTAAGAAGGATATGAAGAAAGTTAAAAAAAACAAGACAAAGGACAAACGAACGAAAAAGAAGAAAGAAGAATTGAATGAAAGAAGGAAAAAGAAAACTTATAGCTCAGAGAAAACGGGCGGATTAAAGAAAGAAAAATACAGAATTGAAAAAGGCCAACGCTAAAGAAGAAATAAAACTGACAGAAGGAAAAAAAAGAAGAAAACGAAAGGACAAAAATGCGAATTAAAAAAAAGAAAATGTAAGAAATTCCGAAAAAAAAAAATATATGTAAATTTAGGTTTTGCTGCTGTGGTTTCAGTACTAAGTAGAGATGCTTGTCCACGACTGACAGGTTTTGTATTCAGTGTTGTCCTTCTCCTAGACTGGTTGACAGCCAAAACTAGCGTGCCTAGTATGCGGAGGGTGGTGGAGAAAAAAGTATTCATACATTTCCAAACGTATTTGTACGAAAGCGAACGTGCCAGCCTCGGCTGTAATTTGAACTCGACACGCCATTATTCCACCGCTCCATTATGACAATTTTCTAAGCGTAGCTTAGATGTAAGCACAAGGCCGAAAATATGGGGCGCTCCGTGAGGATCGAACTAACTATTCAGTCGTAACTAATCTAGCGAGACAAGTTTTCTAACCATTACACCACGTCGAAGCGCCCTTTCTAAACGTGGCTCAGACGTGGCAAAAGGCCGAAAGTGTGGAGCACCCAATGAGATTCGAGCTCACTACTCAGTCGTAATTGATCTTGTGCGATCAGGAAGAGACAGTTTTTAGGACACAAGGAGGAGTGTGGGCTCGGAAAATGTGATATTCATAGGACAGATTGAAGGCAAGAGAGAGGAAAACAGTGCTTGACATAACGAACTTGATGGCGGAGAAGGGCTTAGGAGAAATAACAAAAAGATAAAATTTAAGAGCTACAAAGGAAAGGATGCTGTGGAGAGCCATGATCGACTACGTCCTTAGGGGATACGGTACATGAAGAAGTAGAAACAAGCGTGCTAAACATTACACCAGGTTTGAAATGGACAAGGGGATTATTCCAAGCGTAGCTTAGATGTGGCATAAGGCCGAAAGCATGGGGCATCCAGTGAGGATCGAACTCACTATTCAGTCGTAATTGTTCTAGCGATAGAATCTTGCTAACCATTATACCCCGTCGAAGTGTTCAAGAGATTCGTTATGAACATATTTAAAGGAAATTTCGGTATTATGAAAACGACAAAGACAACATAGAAAGAAAGTAAAATGAAAAAAAAAAAAAACGAAGTAAGAAAAGAAAATATCAAAGAAAGGTAACGCCAGAAAAAAATGAAAGAATAAATGAACAAAAAAGCCAGTGGGGTAAAAAAACAACAACTTAACAGTAAAAAAGAAAGAAAGAAAAGTAGAGAAAAGAAAAGAAAGAAGGGTGAAGAGCGTAGAAAAGAAAAACAAATATAAAACTTAAGAAAGAGCTAAAAATGAAAGAAACGCCAAAAAAGAAAAATCTGTCGAACTTAGGAAGAAAGAAAAGTAAAAAGAAAAAAAGAAAGTAAAAAAGAGCTTAGAAAGAATTTATAAAAGAGTGTAGAGCTTAAAACTTAAGAAAACACAAGAAAGAATGTAAAAAGTATAGAGTTTATAAAGAAAGAAAGATAGAAAAGAAAAAGAAAGAAAGATGGAAAGAAAAATCAAAAAAAGAAAATCATATAAAAAGAACGATGGAAAGAAAAAGGAAATAAAGAAAGAAGTAAAGAAAGATAGAAAGAAAAAAGAAAGATAGAAAAAACAAGAAAAGAAAGAAAGAAAGACAGGAAAATCGATAGAGAACTTATAAAAAAGAAAGAATTAAAGAATGAAGTTCAGAATGTAAGAAAAGTTTAGAGCCTGTAAAGAAAGCATAATTTACATCTCAAAAGAAAAAAAAATAAAGCTTATAAAGAAAGGAAGAAAGGAAGAAAGGAAGAAAGAAAGAAAATGTGTCGAGTTTATAAAGAAAGAAAATAAACAGGCGAAAACGAAATAAAAATGAAGAATAAAAACTCAACCTAAGCGTCAAGAAAAAAGTCAAAAAGAAAATATATAAAGGAAAAAAAAGTATCGTCTTGTACGATGACCATTAAAACTTTTGGCCATTTTTACTAAGTGTCTTTTAAATGCAATATTAACGACATTATTATTCCCGCAAAATGCTTGGGTTCCTCAAAGGTTGGTATGTAATGGCTTCGCAATGAAAGAAATTAACTATTTTCATTATCTGATGTTGTTGGTTCGCACACACGCTCCTGACAAGTCCGTTGATTGGCTTGGCAAAGGTGGCTCAAGCCATTCTTAGAGATCACCACGTGTTGTTCGGACACTTAATTACCCGCCAAATCTCAAGTGACTCAAAGTCATTTCTTCCTGGGTCTTCATGATTATGCCAGTTCAAATAGCCATTCCAAGCAAAAGCGACGACGCAAAGAACAGCCTTTTGCCTTAAGTTCTTAGAGAATGGTTTTTCATTCATTGCTCTGTCCGTGTTGTGATTGCACAGATTGAATGAAAATATAATAATCTATCTATCTATCTATCTATCTATCTATCTATCTATCTATCTATCTACTTCAGTTCCTGATCTATCTATCTATCTATCTATCTATCTATCTATCTATCTATCTATCTATCTATCTATCTATCTATTTCAGTTCCTGGTCTATCTATCTATCTATCTATCTATCTATCTATCTATCTATCTATCTATCTATCTATCTCATTTCATGATCTATCTATTTCAGTTCATGATATATCTATTCATTTAGTTCATAATCTATTTCAGTTCTGATTCATCTATCTATCTATCTATCTATCTATTATCTATCTATCTATCTATTTTCAGTTCATGATGTATATATTTCAGTTCATGATATATCTATTCATTTTAGTTCATAATCTATTTCAGTTCGTGATCTATCTATCTATCTATCTATCTATCTATCTATCTATCTATCTATCTATCTATCTATCTATCCCTAAATACCAAACAGGCATGGCACGTAGAACTAGAACAGTCTACCCCGGTAGGCGAGATAAAGGGTTCCGATCGAAATTCCAATCATCTGAAGAAGGCCGGAGCTTTACAACGTCGTGAATATGACAACAAAGATAAGGACAAATTGTTTCACATTCGCATAAACGTCGTGGATAAACTGTCCAACATTCATATCTCATCTCTGTTTTGGGCTCAGTAATTTCGACGTATTTTTTGCTCATTCTAATTCTATTCTACGCATATTAAATATTTTATACTCATATCAAAAATAGCGTTTCTTGTGAAAGATATGTTTATAAAAGACATTTACAGTATTTGGTCAGAGATTACAGATCGTGACATCTATCAAAGAGATGAAATTTAAATTATTATTATTGCATTATTCCAAAATTTTAACACATCAGTAGATAGCTATTAATGTTAACAACTGAGCACAAATAGTTATTAATTTAAAAAAATTAGAAATGAATGTACAATTTTAAATTTATTAATTAATAAAAAAAAAACAAAAAAACAAGCTATGGCAGACACTCAGCCTCTGACCGGAACCCCACACACGCAGGAAATTTCACTTATTTTCCCACAATATAGCTATTTGTACCATGTTATAATCTCTATTTATAAAATGCATGATGTGTGTGTGTGTGTAACGAATGCACGGCCTCAATTTTCGACGGATTTGCACCAAAATTTACATGCACATGTTCCAAGTTAGTGGAAAGGCCAAGACCGAATTGGCATTTCCCAACTCCCATCGATAGTGGAAATAATCGATTTTTTCATGCTTCTACGGCAGTTTTCATGAAGTTTGTGGTCCTTTTCTACTGTCCAGAGTGAGAGCCTATAGCTGGCTGCCACGAATAGGCAGGAAGATTCTCTTGGCCAGCGTGTGAGCCAACAGCTGACTGACACGAATGTTAACTAGCATGCTAGCATGAAAAAATAATAGATAGCTGCATTCGTCACATGTGGGAAAAAATTTAAATCTGCATGGCACTTTACTCCAATTGGCTCATTCACTTGCTTAAACTCAACGTTGATTCTGATTCCGCAGAACTGGGTTGGGTGTGAAAAAGTATTTGTTGTTAACATTCTTTTTTCATTCGATTTTTCCAGTTACAAGTCCTTTTTTAAAGCTGGTCGTTTTGTGTTCATTTTTATAGTTCTTTTTTCGTAACAGGTTTAATGTTTAGTATAGAGCTTAGAAAAATTCGCAGTGTGAGATAGGCAAGAAGTAAGGCATTTAGAAACATCAGCACGGCAAAGGACACTCTTTTAAAGGCAAGGAAGGACAAAATTATTTTAAGTCAAGTGATAGCGATTGCTGTATGAGTCGTACGATTTTTGAATCAAGCACGGGCAACGCTGGGACATGCTGCAAGTGCTTATTACGTAAACTAAAAATAATAATACTGAATAATTTTTTTAAAGCATTAAAGTATCTGTCTATATTTCTAAGATGAGGTATTATGTACACTATTCACATTATTCGGACTATTGTCCTCATCTTTGTCGCCATATTTATTACAACATGGCACGTTGAACTGGAACAGTCTACCCCAGTGAGCGCAATAAAGGGTTCAGTTCGACATTCTAACCACTTGAAGAAGGCCGGAGCGTACAACGACCGAAACGTTGTAATAAATATGGCGACAACGATGAAGACAATAGTCCGAATAATGTGAATAGTGTACATTAAAGTATATTTAATCACATCTCTCTAATAGCTGTCGTTATTTGTTAATCTGCATATAAAATAATAAAAATGCCCAGAAAATGTTTATGCTCTCATTTCTGGTGTTGTCAAGGTCTGTGAAAGCCTTATGCACAAGATGTCACTTTTAAGATATAAGTATATTTTGCATTGAAATGTAACGTCCCAGCTAGTATGTAGGCATCCCCTCTTGCTTACGATACTGAGACTATTTAGGTCTTGATAACGGCGAAGGTAGTTTAGATATTTTACATCTTTTATCCGAATATGCAACAACTTTTTCGAAAATTGGAAAAATACAATAGAAAAATGAAATAGGCAGAATTCGTTGAATGAATCAAATGCATTTTCTTTAACTATGGCACAGTGGATAAAGACGTTAGTTAGACCCAGTGACAGGAGTGTGAGTTCAATACCTGGTTAAGGCAGTGAAGAACTTGGAGAAGGAAACTAACAGGAGATAACTGATAACTGACATCCATTAAACATGGCACGTGGGACTAGAACAGTCTACCTTAGTGAGCGAAATAAAGGGTTCAGTTCGACATTCCAACCACCTGAAGAAGGCCGGAGCGTACAACGACCGAAACGTTGTAATAAATATGGCGACAAAGATGAGGACAATAGTCCGAATAATGTAAATAGTGTAAATAATACCTCATCTCAGAAATATAGACAGATCATTTTTAATGTATATCCACATTTGTCTGACTCGTCAGAAAATGACGGCCATATTTAATTGCATTAATCTTATGAGTAATCGAGATGTTTTCCTTTTATTTATGCCATCCTCTCGATTGCCACATCATGCAAGAAATTATTTGACTTGTAAGTCATTATGTGCTCCACCCCAAACATATCTAACCAAAAGAAATAGAAAAACTTGATGTCCGCAATCTGTATTCACTTTATATTAATGAGATGTTCCGTTCTTATGACAATATTGGCATTTATTAATGCGTTCAATAATGAGGAAATATCTCATTATTAAGTGTGGTACCAGGCTGAATGACCGATAAATATTTAAATTTAAATTATGTTATATATTATAGAATACATATGAACACACACATATACATATTGGTAATAGTAGATAAGCAAACGTTCCACATTTATTTTTATACATTTTTTTCCATTAAAATTTTTTTCAGGAAAATAAGTTTCTCAAGTCCAGTAAATGATATCAATCTTTCCAGTATTGACGATGTCTTTATTTCAACGTTTTTGTTTATAGTGTATTTATTATATATATATATTTTCTTTATATAGATGTGGTAGCCATTTTAATTATCGCTGTTGTTGAAAGTGCTCAACTGGGGTGGCTTCTGTTATTTGGTACAGTTCATTTTGTAACACACAAACACACACACACATATATATATATATATATATATAGTCGGAAAGGCTAATTGAGTGGTATGTTAAATCTTTCTCATTTATATATATATATATATATATTTACTAAAATATTTTATCCCAAAAATGCCTTAACACTGCATAATATATATATATATATATATATATATATATAAATATATTTTTGAATAAAATCTTACTCTTCGTTATTTTACATTACACACACACACACACACATATATATATATATATATATATATATATATAGGTTAAAAAAAAGGGATATAATCGAATGTTCTTATTGATATTTTTACAAACATGCAATATATATATATATATATATATATATATATATATATTTCCCTAAAGGATGAAACCTATTTTAAATATATATATATATATATATATATGTATATATGTATATATGTATATATATATATAATGTGTGTGTGTTCATATCTATCTATCTATCTATTTATCTATATATATATATATATATATATAGAGAGAGAGAGAGAGAAAGAGAGAGGGGAGAGAGAGACAAAGAAGAGAGAGAAAAAGATAGATAGATAGATAGATATGATTAATTTAAAGTTTGAAGAGATCTGAGGTAGTTAGATGAATTAAAAAAATAAAAATATATTTTACTCGACTATTTTATTTCGTTTTCTTCTTTTGGAATCAAAATAAGATTTTTTCTTATTTTATCTTTTGTGTTCATTCAAAAGGAAAAAAAAAGAATGGTAGAAAGATAGAGACTGAGAGGGAAAGAGAAAAACATTTGAAATGTAACGATAGAAAAATTAAGAGGTAAAGAGAAAAAATCAAAGGATGAGAGTATCAAACATACCCATTATTATAAGAAAGAGACGGAAAAAAGAGATTGAAAGGAAATAGAAAGAAATTGAGAGGTAAATCGAAAGCGGTTAGGCGATAAATAGGGAGTGATTGGGAGAGAATAGGGTCACATACACACACACACACACACACACACACACACACACACACACATTATATAGAGAGAAATTGAGGAGCGAAGAGAAGCAGAATAAGAGCCAAAGAGAGAGAGAGAGAGAGAGAGAGAGAGAGAGAGAAATAGAAAGTAACTGATAGGATAAAAAGAAGGAAACTGAGTTGTAAGGAGAGAGATTGAGAGAGAAAGAGAAGCCGAATAAGAACTTACAGTGAGGGAGATATTGGGAGAGAAAAAGAAAATCACTGAAAAGGAAAAGAGATTGTGAGGTAAATAGAGAGACTGAGAGCTAAAGAGAAACATAATAAAAACAAGAGAGAGAGAGAGAGGAGGGGAGAGAAAGAAGGGGAGAGATTGAGGAGGAAGGAGAAATTGATAGAAAAGGAAAAGGGGAAGATATAACGATGTAAGGATAGAGATTGAGAGGTATAGCTGAGTAGAATATGAGAAAGACAGTGATATATTGAGAGGGCAAGTGACTGAAAGGATAAAGAGAAAGAGGGATAGATTGAAAGGTAAAAAGAAGCAGAATAAAGAGAGAGTGAGTCAGATTGAGAGGGAAAGAGAAAAACACTGAAAGGGAAAAGAGAAAGACAAAGAGAAAGAGAGAGGTTGAGAAAGAAAGAAAAGCAGAATAAAAGGTGAAAAGAGAAAGAGAGATTAAGCAGGAAAGAGAAAATTACTGAAAGGGAAAAGAGAAAAATATTGCGCGGTAAAGAGAGGGAGCGCCATTGAGAAAGAAAGAGAAGCAGAAAGAGAGAGAGAGAGAGAGAGAGTCAATGAAAAGGAAAAGAGAAAGAGATTGCGATATAAAGAGAGAGAGATTGAGGGGTACATAGATGGAGAATAACAGTTAAAGAGAGATAGAGTGGGTGAGAAATTAAGAGGGAAAGAGAAAGTGACTGAAAGTGTAAATAGAAAGAAATGTAAAGAGAGAGAGAGAGAGAGAGAGAGATTGAGAGGTAAAGAGAATAAAAGTTAGAGCGAGATTGGGAGAGAGAGATTGGAGAGAGAGAGATTGGGAGGGAAAGAGAAAGTGACTGAAAGGGCAACAGAGATTGATAGGCAAAGAATTCTAGATTTTTAGCTTTGGTTTCTTTCTATTTTACATTCTCCAAGAGGTCAGCAACATGAAATGCTTTTCTCGCAGCATTTGTTATAACAGCGAAGATTACATTTTGGCCGAATGAAAACGAGATTGACGCTCTAAGATTGACTGCATTAAAGGAAATAAGGCTGTTGTCTAATTGGATTGGCTCCGACCTGCAAGAAAATTATTACAAGCCTCTTCTTCATAAACCAGCACTCCTCCCAGCTCAAGTGTCCACTACCTTCGATCCACAGCCTGCCAAAACTGACCCCCACCCACCTCCAGGTTCACATAACTCAAACTGCACTGATATCTTACTTATAGCTAATAGTTTGAAATGACCAAAGTAATTCCCAGTTCGACTCATTTGACGATGAATTTCTGTAGAAAGAAAAAAAAATGAAGACAGACAGACAGCGTAGTGACAAGTCGTTGCACACGTCATGACACGGTGTTAGATTACTGACAATATTTAGCAACATGACAAGCATATGGACAACAAGCAAAGAAAACTTCAACGGAGATGGACATTGGAGAGAACGGTGAACCCATGATAACCTCACGTGTGTAACATTTTCCATGTTTCATTTTGTGTGCTTATCAGTGCCGTAGAAAATCGTATGCAATCCTCATTATTATTTCCTTGAAAGATGTGACCCGCTCGGGTCGAGACTTTATTGAGGACAGAAAGCCCATCATAAAACTTTTGCTGGAACATCACCCGGCGAAAAGATTTCTCTTCAAGCCAATTTGCAATGTCCGCGTTCAAATTAATATGGCGATTACTGAATGATAAAAGCAGTCTCAAAGTGGAAATAGGTTTTGCCTGCCATTTGTAAACGTTTTATTCGAGATTATCTTGTTTAAGTGGAACAGAAATTATACGGAAGCTGTTTCGTTTTCACAAATCGACCATCTAAATATAAATGTCATATATAATAGACATCGATAGTAACAATCTTATACCGACCACTAATTGATGAACACAAATAAACCTGTTCTTGATTTGCAAGGCATTTACATCGTAATGCATTTATCTATCTATCTATCTATCTATCTATCTATCTATCTATCTATCGTCATATATATATATATATATATAAACAAAGCGCAATGGGTAAATTGTCGCCATTTTATATTTTTAATTCCGCGCATGCGCGTCGTTTGTTTTTGATTTTGTCGACTGCACAGTATAGTAAGGTCAGAAAAAGAGCACTATGACGCAATTCACTTCGCCGGAAATTTGTAAATGGCATGCTGAACTGCTTGGTATTCGCGCCGGAAGCTCCCATACGAACATATTTCAAAGTATTTGCGTGTTACTTTGAGGATAGTGCAGAAGATACGGAAAGAGTTGGATGAATCTAATGGTGATTACGAAGGAACGGTAGCTGGGAAAACTCACTCTAATCGTTCTAATAAGAAAAGAACGCCTGAATTTGTTAAGGAGGACCCCAGACTCAACACGGAGGCTTACATTTAGTGTCTTGAATGAAGAGGTTGGCTGCTGGAAGACTCTATGTTTGGCAACAGGACTCTGCACCATGCCACACAAGCAGTAGATCCCGATCATGGGTGTCAGACAATTTCTGCGACCACATCACCCCTTACATCTGTTCACCTGACTCCCCAGACTGCAATCCCCTAGGTTATGTGTGGGACGAAGTTGAGCGAGAAAGCAACAAAACTTTTGTAACACCAAAAATGAACTGAAGGCAAGGATTATAGTAGCAATCGCCGGTGTACTAGCCGAATTAGCCGCGGTTTGCCACGTGTCACATCTTTTTTTAAAGAAAATGTTGATTAATTTTAAATCATTGCTATACTTTATGGAGAAAAAATTATGTATTTCAATATTACTCAATGATATTGCCGATGTGTCCTTTTTCTGGCTTTCTCCTTCTATATTTTGGCTAGGAGTCATTACTTTGTTCAAATTTAAATTTAATTTAATTCCAAATGAAACGATTTTCAGTGTTGTGTTTGCGCAAAAACAGCTTGATCTGACCGCATTGATATGTATTGGATGCAATACTTGATTAAATGAATTGATGAGCAGATTTCAACATTGATATGACAGTTGAATTGTCGCAACAAATATGTATTGTAAGGCACTACCCAATGATTGGGGATTTCTTGCTCAACTTGACATCCATCTTGTCTCATTTTGATCTTGTTGATGTGACCTCCATCTTTTGGCTTTCTCCTTCTGTATTTGGGATAGGATTCATCTCCTTATTCAAATTTAAATTTAATTTAAATCAAAGTGAAACAAATTTTCCGTGTGGGGTTTGTGGAAAAAAGTTTGATCTGGACGCTTTGATATGTATTTGATGAAATACTTGATGGGATGAATTGATGAACAGATTTCAACATTGATATAACAGTTGAATTATCGCAAGAATTATGTACTGTAAGGCACTAGCCAACGATTGATGATTTCTTGCTCAACTTGACGTCCATATTGTCTCATTTTGATCTTACCGATGTGACTTCCATCTTCTGGCTTTCTCCTATATTTGGAATAGAAATTATTTCCTTGAAATTTAAATTTCATTTAAATCAAATAAAAAAACAAATTCAGCGGGGGTTTTGTGCCCCCGCCTCCAGGGTCCCCCTTTGATCAAAATGAAACATATTTATCCAAGTACCCTAGGAATCATTCCCTTGTTCAAATTTAAATTTAATTAAAAACAAAGGGAAGAAAATTTTCAATGGGGGGTTTTTACCCCAGGGGACACTGTTTATTCAAAATGATCTTGCCGATGTGACCTCCATCTTATGTCTTTCGCCTCCTATATTTTGGATTGGATTCATTCACTTGTTCAAAGTTAAATTTAAATCAAAGGGAATCAAATATTTCAGTGTATTTTTGCACACCACTTTTTGGGGGTACCCTCTCTTGATCAAAATAAAATATACTTATCCAAGTACCCTGGGTAATGTATTTTCAGAATATATGTGGTTACGGGAGTTTATCTCCAAAAACTCTTGATAACAAATAGACAAAGGCTATAATTTTATATATATATATATATATATATATATATATATATATATGTATGTGTGTGAAAAGTGTGTGTATAAATATATATATATATATATATATATATATATATGTGTGTGTAAAAATATATGTATATAAATATAATATATATATATATATATATATATATATATATATATATATATATATATATATATATATATATGTAATATATTGTATATATTATTATTTATATATTATATGCGCAGTACTTATTGGAAAAAGCGCTCAATATCAGAGATAGACCTAATATATTTCGATTGATGTGAGTTTTGTGACCCTGGTTTCACGCTTTTGCGATCGACAGACAAAGCATTGAAACCCAGAACCACAAACTTACATCAATCCAACCATATATATATATATATATATATATATATATATATATATATATATATATATATATATATATATACGAGGTCAGATCAAAAATATCGGACTGCTGCTATAAAGGGAAAACTACAATACATTTTAATTCGGCTTTTAATCGCTTTCGAAGTAATCTTCTTCTAAAGCGACATATATTACTATGATTCGTTTCCATTGATAGAAAAATTCTTGGGACTCCTTTTTTTTAGGATAGCGAGCAGCTGCCTTATCGCATTTTCTTGGATTTCCTTGATATCTTGATATCTTGTTCCTTTCAAGTGGGATTTGATTTTTGAAACGTGAGAAGTTGCAAGGGGCGAAATCTAGGGAATATAGTGGTTGTCGGACCTGGAGAATGTGGTGCTTGGCCCAAAACTGCTGTACGGACCATGGTAATTGAAGGAAAATCTGTGGTGTGGTAAGACAACCACACTCTACACACTTTCCTTCCAATAACTGCTATAAACAACGGAAGTGAGAGAGAACGTTATAACTTAGTGTGCATAACGAAATTGTCGAACATTTATTGCCATAGAAGGGAATATCACCTTGAAACACTGGTTCTCGTACGATCAACAAAGTTAAGCAACGTCGAGCCTGGTCAATGCCTAGATGGTTGAGAATTTTTGTATTTACTCAACCATAAAGAGGTCAGGTTAAAGAGGTCAGGTCAGTTCGGTTTAATTTGGGGAGTCCGAGCGCATACACCCGGGCTAAGAACAAAAATTTCACGAGCCCATGCAATCGTCGGTTGCGCTGGCCTCGGTGCGAGTACCGATCTCTCTCTCTGGTACAACGAGAGGGCGCGGCCTCGGGCAGCTGTTCTTCAGGGTTGGGCACCTCTCAGTGTAATTTTTCTCAGTTGCCACTCTGTCCTTTGACGGGGTCGCCCCTGAGCGCACTCTGTTTAAAGAAAGAGACGCACCTGAGTGATGATAAATAGGGTGTTACAAACTACTCGAGAGTAATTTACACACTAGATGGTTGGGAACAGTAGGTGCTGTAACCTTGGGCGTGTGGGTGGGGTAATGGATAACGGCTCGGAGTTGGAATTCGGAAAGCCGAGGTTCAATTCCTGTTACGCTCTTTATATTCACTTACGCGTAAATACTCTGGGAAGAATATAAATCCACCGAGCCCCCCCCACCTCCCAGCTATGTGTAAAATTATACCAATTCGTCATTGTCGAAAAAAAAAATCGTACTTTCTAAAAATATTTCATGGATTTAAATAACTCGCAAAAGGTTGATAAACCGTAAATAACAAATCAATCAATCAATTGTACATGGGAGTAGACATTACATAAAGTTCTAGCACTTCTAGTTTCTCGTA